GCATAATAAATATTAATCAGGGGCAGGGTCCTCCTTGCCATCTTGTCTTGTGATTGTAATATCTTCCCTATATTGTAAAGCGCTGCTCAAACTGTTGGTGCTATATACATCCTGAATAATAATAATAATCTTGCAATCTGTTTGTATTGGGATATCTGCCCCAGATCATTTATTATACTAAACCATTTTTGTGTAGATTTCAGAGCGGAATGCTGATTTGGCATTGCAGTCTTCTGTTGAGGTCACTTACTATTCTTAACCACTTTCAGACCATAATATGTACATGTATTGGCAAACTGAGCAGGCTTTATTCCCACAGCGAAGGGCCACTATTTAGGAACTAGTACTTTTCTGTTTTTTTTGGACAATAATCTCAAACTGTATCTTGCTTTACCAAAAGAAGTCTGCACAGAAAAGCAAACTAAATATTTCAAACAGAAATTCTATAAAGTGGTCTGGCCCTAAAGATAACAACATTTTTTAATAGTTAACCAAAGGGGCCTATATATACAGTTTCCTCACAAAACTTTTTCACACTGTGCATACAGTTTAAGATTTCCTAAAATTCTTCCCATAATTCTTTGCCTGACCCAACAAAGAAGGTACTTATTTTTGCTGTCACTGCAAAGGCCTAAAACAATTAGTTTTGTGCAACACCAAGACATGGGAATAAAGCACTGCTCATCCACAGCTTTAGCAGGGGTAAGACAACTGAGTGCGTCCTCGCTCCAACCAAACAGGTATATTAAAGGAAGAATCCGGCGCACTCTGTTCCAAGTTTTATTGAAAACTATGACGAAGCCCAGGATTGGGTAAAATATGTCCCGAAAGGGCAGATCTCAGACAGGACTTGGTGTCGCTGACAAATTTTCAATAAACTGATTCGGCATGGAACGGAGTCCGGCCGGATTCTTCCATTACCGTATAATTTTGTGCTGTTGACTTTGATGCACACGAGTAAAACCTGATTTAATCTACATATGGTGTGCTAGTGACATATGTATACTGTCATCGCCATCTGTTGTTGGAGCACCCGATCACCTTAGGTGATATTCAGTTCCACAGGGACATGTCATTCCTCATCTGACAGGTTGTTTCTGCCATAGATAAGTAAGCAGTGTAGCGAAGGCCTGACAATGTCTTTGCCACAGAATCATACCCTGTTTGGTGGTGGAGGTAATCGGATAAAAATAGACACAAGTCTGTTTACATCCCCCTGGCCCATAGACTAACATTGAGCCATCCGATCCGGTCCTCCTGAAGAACTGACAAGAGGACCGGATCGGAAGGCCATGTGAAAGGGGCCTTTCAGTTCTGACGGGATTTGGATAAAAATCTGAAGACCGCAATAACAAGTTGGTAAATTAGCTTCTATTTCAGAATTTCATTTAGGTAACAGTAACTGATACCACAGTAGCTTGGGAACTCTTATTCTATAAAAATCTTTTTGGTATGAGCTGGAATTGAAGTAACGGTCAGTGATATGATTGATTTTATTTATTTCATCTAGGGATCATGAATGGTTTAAACTGGACCTCCCGAAGTATCTGTTCCCAGAGGACCAAACCTGCAGTTCAAACCTGATCGATGACGAAGCCTTAAAGGAAGTGTGTGAGAAGTGTGAGTGTACGGAGGAGGAGGTCCTCAGCTGCCTGTACAGCCGCAATCACCAGGACCCATTGGCTGTAGCTTATCACCTGATCATAGATAACCGACGAATTATGAACGAGGCCAAAGATTTCTATTTGGCCACAAGCCCGCCGGATTCATTTGTGGAAGAGCCTCAACCACCCCGGCCCCATCCTGAGAGAGTGCCCTTCTTGGTTGCAGAGTACCCCCGCCAGAGACACACGCTTGATGAGCTGAACCCACAAAAATCTAAGCATCAGGTCGGTGTGAGAAGAGCAAAATGGCACCTAGGAATTAGAAGTCAAAGCCGACCAAATGACATCATGGCGGAGGTGTGCCGGGCCATGAAACAGCTAGGCTATGAGTGGAAGGTAAGGATTGTCATTTTGTTGTAGCATGCCTCCCCCCCCCACCCCCCATTTCAGAAGGGATATTGGAATCATAAAAGCCAAAACCCCCTTTTCTTTTTTTTTGGATAGAGTAAGCATGTCCCCATTGGAAGATTTCCCATCTATTCCTTTGGGATTTATTTTTACTTCATTGATGATGATCACCAGGACAAATGGAGTCCCTAACAGGGACTCTGACTGCTATAAAAACCTGACAAGTGCTCTAATCCCTCTCCACTCCATCCAAAACTAAAGGCAGATATAAAATACAAAATGAATGCAGGGTTGGAAGAGGGGGTAGATTGGTTGGGTTAATTCAGTTTCCCCAAATTGCCTGAGAAAGTGAAATTACCCTTTTAACCCCTTCGTGACTGACGACGTACAGTGTACGTCGCCAGCATCGGGGCTGTTTAACCCCTTCGTGACTGAAACATTAGACCAGAAGAGAAAATGGCCCTTCAGTTTTTCCCCCTTCTCATAACTGCTGGATAATTTGCACAGTACAAATGTACATAATGTTTCACTGGACAAATGGCTACACAGTTTTTAATAACTAGACCCCATACTACTTAATCTCAAACCATTTTAGTTGCACAACTGAGATACTGAAAATCACCCCTTGCCCATGTCCCTGATTTTTGTTAATTGTGTATTCCTAGGTCTAGTCCTTATCTCGCTTGGTGCATGTGCCCTGACAGATTATTCTGTATGTTCATGACCTGACAGATGTCTGACAAGTAAAATAGAGGAGGGATAGGATGGTGCCAGTATGACTGCTACCTGCTTGTGGGTAGCCCAGGCAATGAAAAGATCATTTGTATACATTTGTACATGAGGTCTTGTAACATTCCCGGGGCTTTCGTTTTATAATATCCAATACAATTTTAAAGTAATCTGCCACTAAGCAAAACCGCTGTGTAACGCTTTGGTGGCACAGATCTATTCCTTGACTGATGTGCTAGTTCACAAGTAGGGATGGCCCGAGTGTTCGAATCGAACATCGGCAGTTCGAGCGCCGAACTTTATGGGATGTTCGCGGTCTGTTCGACCGCGTACATTCCATAATACAAAATGCCCACTAAAGCTCTGATTGGGCAAAGTCTTGCACCTGACCACAGGTCAGCGGAGGAGGGGCCTGAAGGTATGGCTCCCAGCCTGCAGACGAAGTGGAGGCAGGGGGGCGGGGCAGAGGATCCACGGCCGGACTGAAGGAGAAAAGCCGACGGACCGCCGGGACAGCGAGCAGACGGACCAGGGGACCGGAGGCCGGGACAGCAGCGGAGGTAAGGGGGCCAGTACACTGTATTTATTACATGTACCGGCAACTGTATGGGGGTCGAACATTCGACCCCCATACACTTGCATTGAGTTCGATTTCGTATTCGAACATTTCGGCCATTCGAATGTTCGAATACGAACCGAACAGGGGGGTGTTCGGCTCATCCCTATTCACAAGCAGTCAAACTTGACCTTCTGTCACTGCCTTGTAAGCATGTGGCACAGGAGTCTTGGAATGGTTTATTTTCGGCACTTCTCATGCAATGCAGGCGTAGAACATAGCCTTGTATTTAAAGTAGAACTGTGGTCAAACTATTAAAGGAGAACTATTAAGTGAGTGCTTTTCACTCACCTCATAGTTCTAGCCGACCTGTGACAATGATACTGTCACAGGTCGGCTCAGTAGATCGGGAGGTGAGCGAACACATACCGGCGTTTGCTCACTTCTCGATCTTGACACAGCAGAGAGCCGTGACAGGGGATTGGCTGGATTCCCCAGCGCTGATAGGCAGAGCCAGCTGTCGCTCACGCAGCTGGGCAGAACCAGACATAATTGTCGGGATCCGTTTTAGCTGCGGCGTCTGACTAAGCTGTAGCTCGTGGTATACTGAGCTTAGGGTAACGGGAGGACGCTAGTTTGTGTCCTCCCGTTACCCTTAGAACTATGGGGAAAAGCCCTGACCCCATAGTTCTCCTTTTTAATATTACATGTGATTTAGGCAGCTCATACCAGTAGGACTGAGCTCTGTTTTTCTAAGTACCCCTTGGAACATGTTGTAAATGTATGTAGATCCTGCCAGTAGAACCATTGAATACACTTCCCAAGTTTACAATGCTCTAACTTCTGTAGTCTCATCACCCTTGCTGTAGCTGCTTAGATGTTGGCACAGTTAATGGACCTTTTTGCTTCCTGGTTGGTTAGGAAGTCAGGCTGCTTACGAACAAGTAAAGCCCGCTTCCTAGTCCAGCAGGTAGTGGGGCAGGACATCATGACCTGCCTCTCGGCTTCCTGATTGGCTAGGTAGCCTGGCTTCCTAACCAATCAGGAAGCCGAGAGGCAGGTCATTACGTGCCGCCCAGCTTCCTGATTTGGTTAGGAAGCCAGACTGCCTAGCAACAAGTGAAGCTGGCTTCCTAGCCAATCAGGAAGCCAGGAGGTGGGTCACAGCCCGGCACCCTGCTTCCTGATTAGAACGGAGGCCAGCTCTATGCTCCCTCGGCACTTGCGGTCAGAGGGAGAGCTCCCTCTGACCCAAAGTTCCGGTATCTGAGCATTTGGGCGAATACGCGCCCAAATACTCGGTATCGGCACCCTAGATAAAACTTTGTCATAGGCTAGGCTAGGCTAAGCTATGGCTAAGGTCCATTGTTCGGGATGAAACTCAACGGCATATTTGCTGTTTTTGTGCCAAGATGAAAAAAATAACTTTTAAAAGGATCTTTGTTTTGTTCTCTATGGACGATAATGGTGGCCAGGAATCTCCACCAAGCACCGAGGTTCTTAAGGCAGGCTTTGGAAATGATGGAAGTAGAACATCATGCTAGCTTGCATTGTAAATGCCTGTTTGTCACTCCTATGCAGTCACAAATTAGATACTTTAACTATTTGGCTGGAGTTGCTAATTAACCAGACCCTCATTAATGTACAAAACTGTAATACATTTTATAATCTAACCTGAAAACACTTCTATCACATGCTGCATTCATCGAGGTTTCTTCTGCAGGTGGTGAATCCATACTACCTCCGCGTTAGGAGAAAAAATCCAGTAACGAGCATGTACACAAAAATGAGTCTGCAGCTATACCAAGTGGACAGCCGGACATACCTGCTGGACTTCCGCAGTATAGATGGTATGTACCATACTGGAATGTTATGGTTTATCTACTATTATTCTAATATAGAGACGTGATTACTAAAGTGGTGTTCCATCTAAGAGCAATATTTTGACTATATGTGCTGTGTGCGGGATCCTGGCACCATCGGTGATGTCTCCTTGCCACGATTTTGGTTCTGTACCCGGTCACTTGGTGAGTTTTTTTTTTGTGTGTCCCCATTGTGTTACATTCTGCATGAAATACTATATGATGACACACCCTGCCTGCACAATGCACTGCTGAATCCCTTGCTGAAAGTCTGTATACAGGCATATAGGCAAGTAAGCTATCCCCCAACACCACATGATAGAGGTCAGGTCTGCTGATAGGTGGTTCTGGCACTGGTATGTTCTGGGAGGGGGAGCCTGATGCAAAGCTTCAGTATTGGTTAAGATCAAGGGTAGGCAACTTCAGCCCTCAAGCTGTTGAACTAGCAGTCCCATGAGGCATTGCAAGACTGACAGCCACAGGCATGACTCCCAGAGGCATGATAGGGTTTGTAGTTCAGCACAGCTGGAATGCAGAAGTTGCCCACCCCTAGTATAGATTTACTATACTAAATGCATTGTCGAAGTAGTACTCGGCTTGGTGATGCTGAACCCCCAGATGAACCTGCCAGTCCTAGTGCCATCCACTTTTGGGACCCATGGTCACGTCTTCATCTGTCCAGGTTTTAGAAAATTCCCCATAGACCTTTTAGGGTACTGGAAATAGCTGCGAGTCCTGGAAGTGGATCGCCCCAGTGAGTTGTATTTACACAATCTGATCTTGCCCTGAGAGAGTGGTGTGGTGGCAGAACTGCTACACAAGCTAGAGCCAGCAATGGTGGGTTTAGGCTGGGACCCTGTGCTGGGATAAGGGAATGTCTGCACATCACTACTTTAGAAGTACAATCTACCATTACTTGTGATAACCCAGAACCAACCTTAAAGCTGAACCTCTGTGCTCACAACACAATAGGTGTAAAGCAGTCTGTGGTATATGGACACCTTGCCCAATAGCCCTTCCTTACTAAGGATTCATTTGTCTTTGGGTCAGGCAGCAGGATGGAAGAAAAGACAACACTGTAATGAATTCTGGTTTGTAGGAAATTCTTGAACACGTAACAACCTGCTTTGCCTAGTCGGTGCACACTGTGTGTAATAGAAGGTTTGCCTGGAGTTCAACCTAAAATAATTATAGTCTGAATCATAGCTGTGTTCGCAGTCCCATAATTGGTGCCATGTTACCAGAGCAACAGGACTGCAATTTCAGAAGAAAACAAAGCAACGTTATGTTTCCAGATTTACAGAGAATGAAATGCTAGCAGACCAGCAGCATGCTACTGAAGCCATCATTTCAATCTCATGAACACACGCAGTTCATATTGTGCTTTCCTTCTGCAGAGGGTGGATGCAGGGCAGAGACTGCTGCTAAACTCTTCACCCTGAGTGATGCACCTCCAGACTGTTAGGTTTTTTTTGTGGGTGTCTTGGGCATGACTGAGCCATGAATGGGTACAACCATGATCCTGAACATGCAGGTTGACTTGCATTGTGTAGAAATCCAAATAGTTGTGCCCATTCAGGGCATAGTGGCAGGTTCTCTTGAAAGGCCACGCTCCCATCCCTCACCATTGATGGTCTTATTCGCTGTGCTCCCTTATTGCTCTTTTTTTAATGTCAGTCCTTGAAAATTCTCCCCTCTATCACAGTGGTGGACAAATTCATATGGAATTTAGGAGCCACTCTGTCCATCCCAGGAGCCACTAGGATTTTTTTTCCAAGAGCCAGCTCCATTGACCACAACTAGAGAACCTAAAAAGTTAGATGCCAGCTGTCATTAAGTATTGGCTACCCGGCTCCTGAGATTTGTCCAGCCCTGCTCTATTCCCTTCCTCCCAGGATGCAGTGCTCAGGCTCAAGCAGCCAGTCGCCTGCCCTCAATACTGACCCTTGAGGCGGGTGAGCAGGTCTTTACCCCTCCACGTATCAAAGGTGGGAGGAGTTAACGCTTTATAGAACTTGTCATTCTGCCCTGAATAGGCAAGGTGGCCACTTCACGTTAAATTAGGGATGCACAGATACCTTCCCGATACCAGAACTTCTGGTCAGAGGAAGATTTCCTATGACCCGAAGTGCCGTAGGTAACATGGAGCCAGCTTCCTGTGCGTTAAGCAAGATGGGCGGCGAGTAATGACTCGCCTCCCAGCTTCCTGATTGGCCAGGAAGATGGCTCCATGTCGATTGACCGGGGAGGTGGGTCATTACTCGCTTCCTGGCCAAACATGGAGCCGGCTTCCCGGGCAATCGGGAAGCTGGGTGACATGTCCTTAACCGCCGAGCGGCTTTCTGATTGCCCGGGAAGCCAGCTCCATGCCAACGGAAGCACTGGTATTGGTACTCGGTATCGGCGAGTACTAAAGCAAAAATCTTTACTCTTCACTCAATACCGAAAAGCCGGTATTGGTGCATCCCTACTTTAAATGTTGAAATATATTTTCCCAGTTTGTGTGGACACTGAAGATGACTTGTCTTTCTTTCAACAGATGATGTTTGCGAGGGCAAATCTGAAAATACCACACCAAGACGGTCGGGGTCTGTTGGCAGTGCCCGCCTGCCTCAGAAAAGTGACTCTGACACGGAAGCCCCAGCAAAGTCATCTAATGGTTCCGTCCCTTCTTCGCTGACCTCATCCGCAGACTCCTCCAACACCGACATGGTCCCTCGACCAGGAAGCCATACTATAGAGTTCTTTGAAATGTGTGCAAATTTAATCAAAATCCTGGCGCGATAGGTCTCGGCCTTTTCCCAGATCTCATTTCGAGCAATAAGCATGCAGTAACCTGTAGCCAAATGCTTCCAGTCTTAATCCAGTCCTAGTACACAAAGAGCTGAAAGCAACATCACAAATGCAATTTGCACATAGATCCGACGTCGTCGTTCGGTCTAAAACAGTAAAGCTTAACGTGTGATTATTATTTTTAACAGATATAGAAATGTCAACAAAGGTATAAAATCTTGTGTATATACTTCTTTTTTTTTTTTTCTTTTTTCCAAGGTTGACTTTTTTTAATTGCACATTTTTATTGAACACTGGGCTGTGTCGCTTATTCCTGAGACACCACACACGCGCTTGTTTTTATTTTAGTCTACTTTTTTTCATATAGGATTTCACTTTTTGAGGGGCATTTCGGGGTTTATTTTTGACCACAGCGTGACCTGTTTTATAAATAAATCAAAGGGCGATTATTTGAACATTTGCTCTGTGCGAATATATGCCAAAATGGAACATTTAGGTTTTTTATCTTTACACGTGAAATGAATTTTCGAAAGATCCATGTAATATCACATTATGGTCACTAGATGGAGCTAAAGGAGCATTGGCAGTGATTTTTTAATTACCTATGCACCTAGTGGTCAAAATGCGATATTACATTTAAGAAACAAAGTGTTCCCTTGTAAATAAACCACTAAAGAGCATTCATTTTGGCATAAGCACATAACAATGGGCCTTCAAAAAGTTTATAACTAGACCCCAACGTGTATGTAAACCTTCAATATATTCTTCTTGCCTCAGGGTGTAACATTTTTAACACTTTGTAAATCCACTGCAACATTTCTTACCAGGACATTCTGCCATTAACAGCACTTCCTGTTGCAGGCTGACAATGCTAAGCCACGGCCTCTCATTTGGCAGCAGTTTTGTGAGCCTGTCATGTACATGCAGCCTAGTGGCCAAATGAGGGAAGTGCACACACCAAGCAGATGATGCCGCTGCTAATTAAGGGGCAGTGGCATACCATTGTCAGCCTGCAGCAGGAAGTGAGGTTACTGGCAGGATACCTACCCAGGTATTAAAAATAATTTGTATATAGTGAGGCATGACGCCAAAAAAAGATTTTGGGTGCACATACACTTTAAAGTAAACCTAGCATGAGGCAAGGACTGCCATTGCTGCCCTGCATCTGAAAATGCATGTTCCCTGGCTGTTATACTGACTTGCTGGCTTTAATAAATGGGATCAGGAACCAGTATGCCAAGTCAAAATGCCTTCTCTTCATACATGAGCCTGTGTGGTGGTTTAGAGTATTAACATAAGAGAATGTCAGCATGACAGCAGGCAGTTTGAATTTTCAGAAATAAGTCTGCAATGGCAGCCTCCAGTATAATTACTCAACGTTTGTGTTTCTCACTTCCATGAGTTGTACATACAACTCCTATGTAATATAGGCTAAAATGGACAGCACATTATCAGGCTTGTCATACAGAGCCACCTACTGGTGAAATCTGGAAGCACAGCTTGTTCAGTCAGTTACGATGCATCGTGCGGATTTGTGACTGTGCCGGAGTTTTGGATGGCAATAGGCAGGCAGAGTTTCCATCCATTTAAGCAAGACTCGTATTTGCCCTCCTTGCTATCTGACACTACGGTTTTCTAACCCTGTCTCCTCTCCCTTGGAGCAGCCCAAATCAACACAAGTCCATATCTCATGACTTGGTTTATTTTCCTCTTCAGTGTATGCATGGGGAAGGTGACCTTTATAACGAGCAATGAGGCCGCCAGCTGTTGAGAAAAAAAACCCTGAAAATCCCCTTTAATTCTGGTTGTTAGGTTGGTTTATATATTGCTGGAGATATAATTGGAGTTTAATGAGGGACGGTAATCTGTACAAATGTAATAAAAGTGTTGTTTTTTTTTTTCTTCTTTTTTTATATATATAACAGTCGAACATTTTTGTTAAATGGATTTTAAACATTGGATAAATGTAGAATGTTACCCGGCTGGATAAATAAACACTGATTTTTATTCTTGGTAATAGCAAAAAAAATTCAAGCTTATTTTTTTCTTCAAGTGCTCAACTGGCATTCACTTGCTCTTCTTCTTTTTTTATTTTTAAAGTAATACTATTTTTGGTTCATTTTAAAACATATCAATGAATGCCTGTACTACCTTTAAACTCTAGAGTGTATGTACAGGGAATAACTTCATTAAAGTTGTTCTATTTCATGCATTGCCTACTTGGCGCAAGTCATGTAGTTGTCCACCTGTGTCTCCTGCCAGGTTTTTTGCCTAATTACAAAAAATAAACCTAGGAACAGCAACATTCAAAAACACATTCTGCCATTACCAGAGAATTGGGAAGGTAGAGACTAGAGGTGGTGCATATTTTGCCTGGTGCATGTGGCAACAGAGGTGTTATGGCACAGACAACAGTTCTATATTGTGTCTTGTGCCCTTTTGGTTTTTTTTTTATAGTTAAAATGTGATGAGAATGAAAGGGGTCTGCACTTGAATAGGTGCCCTTAGGCACCTTTTACACAGGAGGTTTGATCCAGTCTGTCTGCTTGTCAGTTTTTGACACTGGGTCCAGTCATTTCAGTTTTGGAGGAAAACTGGATGGACACTGATGTCACAGTGGGGTCATCCTATCTGTACCACTCCAATCAGGAGGGGATCCCTGCACCTTCTGAGCCGCTCATGTGAAATGGGCCTTCCAATGACTTAGATCCTGGACAATGTGTGTTGAGATCCTTTATTGAAAAAGCCATTTGTTGGTACATAACAGTAACCAAGGTATGAGCCTTTTCATTTTTACTGAGATGTCTTCATGTGCGTGAAATCGGAATATTGGTCATAAAAATATATTGGGAGCTATTATATCCAGGAGATTTGGCTCCTTTTGAGCAGTTTAAAATCAATGTGCCCTAGTGAAGTTTATTGCGGTGAGATTCATTTCAAAGTACTGTGATGGGGAGCAATTCATCTTTGATGTGCAAAGTACACCAACTAGAACAAATCACATTTTATTTACGTGAAGTCAAGTCTGTGAAAGTGAGTTCAGATTAGTTACATATTGTTTTTGCTGTGTTTAATGAGCCCGTCTTGATTGTATGTGTCCAATACAATTTAAAAAAAAAAACTTTTGGCCATCCCTACAGGCCTACTGGTTACGATTTTAGCTTTCCTTTCCCATTTCTGAGGATTTCCAGTGTGTGGCCTTTTTTTTTTTTTGTGGGTTTAGTTCAGAAAGGAAGAAACTGTTCTTTATTGGTCACTGCTTTCAAAAGCTTAGGTGGAGGTGAAATACAACTAGTGTATCAGTGCTCTGCTTAGTGCTCTAAACTGTCACCTCTGCAGTGGCAGGTGCCTGAAGGTTCACTTCAGGTTTCTTATGTGGTGCCTCAGTGATCCAAGTCTGCCAATGCTGGCCAGATCCATTCATTGGGAGCTGAGGCTTACTGCCTGGGCTTCATCATTGACAATGATGTTTCCAATCACCAAGACGAGCAAATAGTGAGGCAGGCCCCAGTTGATCACAGGTTTTGGCCTGTAGTTGTGTATTTTGAGGACACTGGGTTCAAAGCTAGAACAAAGCTGAACTGCCATTGCATGAATATGGCAGCTTAGTAGGAGGCCTTTTAGGTTTACTTTAATGGCTGCCCCTAAAAAAAAAAAAGCCTGTAATACATTAACCCTTACCAGAATCACCTCCCATGAACTCTGTCTTGTAGAAGGACACCAGCCACTAGAATGTCCATCATGGACAACTTCTGGGTGTGTTGGGTGCCAGTCTCTCCCTGCTGTGGTTCCATTTGTCAGTAGTGTAACCCTGAACGACTACATCATACTAATGACATAGAGGTTGCCAGATGGATCTGCAGTGAGGAGACAAGGGCATCCACTACACCCAGAAGTGTTGTATTCTGGAGCTTCCACAAGCATTGTAGCTGTGCAAGTTCGAAGATCAGATTTTACCGTAAGTATCAATGTACTTTTACAGGCTGCCTTCAGGCATCAGTTGCAATGTCAATGTGCACTCTCACTATTGTGGACACAGTTCATCACACATGTTGTCAGCCTCCCTGTAGTGTTCCACAGAGGCAGCCATATGCTCTTATGCCTAACATCTGCCTCATTTTAGCAAAATGTCTTGATGGGTGCTATCCTGCCATGATCTTAGTCCTTATTCAATGACTATACTCCCTTTTTTTTACCAGTTTGTGTTTACACAGGCTTATTTAGTAAGGCATTATCGAGCAATCTGGAGCAACCAATTTGAAATATTTTCTATGTAACTGGATGCCATTTGTTACTGAGCTTCGTATTTAAATACTTTTCAACTGCCTTAAAAAAAAAAAACCCCCACACCAGTTTATACTTGGCTCCATTTTGGTTAGGAAATCTTATGGCACATCCAGTTTGATAGTTCTACCACCATTCTAGGATTTCATTTTACTTTCGTCATTCCCAATGTAGTGGCGGCGCAGCTTGTTTAGGTGTGTTGGTCATCATAAAATGTTTTGATAGGATGAATCGGGTGTTAGTGTGGTTTTTGTCAAATCTGGTAGATTGTTGTGCTGAGACTGATCAAAATGTGTTTTTGAGTTTGTGGTGGCACTGTTAAGTATTGTTCCTCAATCGTCCTCATATGATATCTCAGCTCTCGCGTCATTCATTCCATGAGACCGACATGGTTTGTGTTATGCTTTTGTTAGATGGTCACACGTGATCATGAAAAAGATCCATCAGGTGGTGTGAAAGGGGCAAATATTCGGCAAGGCCTTTCTTATTGGGCCTTCTAAATTGACACCAGTATTTGAAAAGCTTTTTGCGAGCTTCAAACCATGTTGAAGCTTTTGAAGCAAACCTCTGCTCCATTTTGGGAATTTTAAACCAATTTTGATAGGGATGTTGACTTGCTTTAGACAAAATTATAGAAGACCTCAGCAGGCTTTCAACAAGCTTCAAGTAGTGATGAAGTTCTCCTGTCTTCTGAAGCCTGCTGGCAGCGTGTTTACAT